CTGCTTTGGCCTCATGCATACACTCTCACATTTGTTCCCCTGAGATATCCAAGTACCTCAGAGTTCTTTAGTAGCCATGAGACACAAGAGAATTGCTTCAGAACAAGAAGAGTCAATGCAAACCCTTGCTATGGATTATTCAGATACTGACAGTGACTCTACTTTGGGATACAGCGATGATGAAGATTCCAGTGATGAAGTCCAAGGAATATCAGAGTCAGTGCACAGAAAACTGTTTGCAAATATTTGGGGATTTTTTTCATGCTCTATAATTTCATTGAAAGGAATTTCTAACTCCTCCAAAGATGCTTGAAAAGAGACCACTACTAAACTGCATAGCTTTGACTGTTATTATTTGTTAATCAACAGAAAGTTTCTGAAGCTATTTGTTAATCTGCCAAACAGTAGCTCCTTTTGCAATAGTACATGTTTATTAATTGTCATGCTGAAAACAACTAATATACAGGCACAGAACMGGATGAATGAGATTTTATTTTTAAAGACAATGTGCATGTTAAACCTGGACTGTTATACAGATACACATACATTTATGTATTATACAGGCACAAGCCTAGTGTACTGRGCAAACAGAGGCAGCATGTGAACAGTGAAAGTTTGTAACTAAATAGATCTGGCATTATCTTATTAATATATAAAAKTCTTTCACAGTCAATCTTTTTCAAAGTTTTGTATATTCTGTTTTTAGAAGCTATTAAAGTAGTTAGGTAATACTCCAAGTCAGGCATAGCTAATGTGTGCTAATGAAATACATATCTAGGTTGTCCTCAAAGGCATGTTCTTTTCACAACAGTATAATGTTTATGTGCTCGGTTATCAGAGTTTAATGTGACAAAAATTCTAAATTCTAAATACCCTGAGTTGCCAAAGAGGAAAACTTGGAAAAAAGAAAGAAAAAAAGGAAGAAAGAAAGAAATCTCAACTTTTAAAAATAATACAATCCTGCTTTTCTTTTTCCCATGTCTAAACTAGTATTACTGAAACCCCTGCTAACTTAGGTAAATGTTCTGTGTGAAATCAATATGATAATAGTTATGTATGTTTAGAAATGTTCAWTGAAATCACAGATTTTTAGGACCTCTGCATTTTATAAATGTGTGATATTTCCTATCTAAATCCAAATGATATTTGCTTTTACCATGGCCCTTGGACCACAAAGGATATAAACGTACCAAATAATCACCGAATTGGCAGTTTTCATCAATAATATTCTTTCATTAGAAGTTTCCCTACTTCTACTCCTAAAATGACAGATATATATATATATATATATATATATATATATATATAAAAATTAGATTTGCAGAAAAAAGCTCTCACAGTGCATAGGGATACAATTTTTAGACACCTGCATAAAGAAACATCAAGACATTAAGCACCTTAATAGTGGAAATGCAATGATATTGCAGGGTCAACATAAGGTCAGTGCAGAATGGGYTTGGCATTCAGTAATTTTCTATTATTATGTAACAATATTATAAAGCAACATAGCAGACTAGGACATAATCATGTATAGGAATTCTGATAAGCTGAAAATAAAAATGGCTCATCAGATTCATTTTGCAGTTGGACACCCATAAGTATATTAGTGCTGATTTTATTAACAATTAAATACCATTTTTATAATGGTAGACATTATGACTACTGCCCCAAATTTATTCTACATTTTAATAAATTTAGAATTTTTTTAAAAATTAAACCCTATAGAGGAACATAAAAACAGTGTACTGTTATGGAAAGAACTACTTTTGAACACAGTCAAATCTGTATTCAAATCCTAGGGCTGCATATATTAGCTATACCTGACTTCCAGTATTTTACCTAATCTCTAGCCTCACATATCAATTTGTTATATGGTATAAATGGGATTTTTGTGAACTGCTTAATATAGCTACTGACATATACTAGATGCATAGTAAGTGGCAGATATAAAATTACCTACAAATATTCAATTTATTGTCTTTAACCAATGTTATGCTTTTAGTATGTGTATATATATATATATATACACACACACACACACATATATATATATATATATATATATATATATATATATATGTCATTTTAATGTATTAAGCTAGTTAATGTAGTAAGGTGGTTCTAGCCCATATTTATATTCCATTTTTATTGATTAAAGCATTCTTCTGTTCTTTGATTTTTTTCTCATCTATGTTTTATAATATTGATATTTTTTGTTTCAAGAAAATTACATTCCATTTTTAAAGTGTAGTCAATTTAGGCCAGATTATATAATAAAATCTTAAAATATTGGATATTTGTGATAGGTACATTAGAAATTTATATTCAYGGAATATATGTTTAAATGAGGCATATTTGTGTATGTTATTTTTTAAAACTTTGGAAAATTTCTAACTAGTCAAGATGAAAATATATTTATAGAAAGCAAGTTTTAATATGATCTCTATAAAAGAGTGTTAATATTTTTATTGTTGTCTTTAGGTTAGCAGCAATTTTTARTAACTTATGCCGCCATAAATAATCTTCTAAGAAATAAATCATCCACRCAATTTATGAAAAACTTGGTGGATATTACTGATGTTTTCTGCCTGTAGTATTTACCAAAAATTCAAACTAAGAAAGTCATAATGATTGGAAATACATTGTCTAATGCTATGAAGCAAAAAGAAAAATCTCCACTTTAGTCTTGGGTAGGAATGTTCTTATAAAACACCAAACAGAGCCTCCATAAGGGCTATCATGATAGATAATGTTGTTGATGAACATGAGAAGAATTAGAAATACTAAACAGTAGGCCACACTTCTTTCTGTGTACCTAGCACAATGACATACTTATTTTTGGTGATCTCATTTAATTTCATGCAGTGAATGGGGCACTCATATCATCCCTGGTTTATAGACAAGGACACTGAGGCTTACATAGGTTGTGATTCCAGATCCTCAACTCTGCTTCACTGCCCCAGACCTCAGGAATATGATATTCATACCATTCTTGAAGCAAACACTTTTAGTACCTCTTTTGTGTCAGGTATTTGAGATAAAATAGGAAATAAAACTAGCCATGGTCCCTGCCCTAGCATTGTCTAGTGGGAGAGAGAGACAGAGGTACTAACGAAATGAACACACAAGTAAATGTATAAATTAAACATGGTGACAGTTGCTTGCATATAGAGAGATGTAGGGTGATAAGAAGAAGTAAACAGGGAATCTGACCTAGTTAATTCAGGRTGGCATCCCCTAGGAAAAGGCATTTCTCCTGAAATCTAAAGGATAAGCTGGAGTGAACTAGACAGACAGCTGGAGAGGAGTTTTGTAGGCCTAGTTATGAAAAACTCATGGCAGGAGGGAGGTGATGTGTTTGTCATTGAAAGGAGGCCAATTTGGCTGCAAGGCAGAGAATGTGAGGGAGGCAGTGGGAGGACCATACTGGGAGTYGATGAGGCTATAATAAAAATTTTAAAGTCAAGACAGAGTTTAGTATCATGGGTGGATTAAGAAATGTACCGTAATTGAGAGATTTTTTTCTTTAATAACATAACCATTGAGAAACAAATCAAAAAAGAATGTCACTTATAGAGAAAATGATATGAAACACCTAATAATACTTTTTCATTAAATGTCAGGACCTAAAAGGAAAAAAATTATGCAGTCTTATTTAAAGATATAAAACTGTATCTGAAAAAGTAGAAAGTCATGCCATCTTCTTTTATGGAAAAATTAATGTCACCAGAAAGTCTTTCTTCTTAAAATAATGYATAAATATAATATGAATCTACCAGAAGCTCAAAATGGGTTTCTTGAGAAGTAGAAAGATTAAAGTCTATTTGAAATGACAAATGCTTAGTACTGTCAAGATATTTTTTTTWAAAAAAGTATATTAGTGATGGGGAACTGGCTTTACCAAATATTAAATACTGATTGTTTCTTTAAAGCAAATATAACCTTACCATCTTGGTATAGCAACAATGAAATATGGTAAAAATACAGAAAAATACAGAATTCAGAAGTATATGTAAAATTTTAAAAAATGTAAAAACTCACTGGAATCATTTAAAAGCCTGTTATTAGAGATATGTTTTATGATTCTTAGAATAAAATAATTAATACTATATTGTTGGTACTTATTTGTTTGTATTTGTTATATGTACTTGTTTCTGTAATGTATTTCAAACATATTTATCATTAATTCTATTTGCATACGAATTTTTTATCTTAGGAAAATAGTGCGTTTTCATTATGATTTAATATTATCATTACAATAATGCAATGACATTTTTAGTGGCTGAAAATAATTGTAGATATTGATTTATCACATTCACCTTTGATTACTGGATAAAACAGGAAATATGGCAGATTTTTAAAGGTCAAAGAGGTTGATAAAATTACTACAGTGACAAATGAAACAGTTTTTGTATACTTCAATTGGTATGACTAAGATTTTTCGAATACTCTTGAAGAACCATAAACTCTGTAATGGATGAAGAGCTGTGTGTCATAAATTGCCAAATAGTTAGATACATAAAAGCAGGGTCTCTAAAGCAGTGAAATAATTAAAATAGATCCATTGTTCTCAAGGTAACAATGACAAATTCATACATGAGTGGATTAGATACTCAATTACCAGAAGTATATCTTCAGATGCTTTAAAAACTTTCATCTATTCATGCCCATTATTATCTTTGTCATCATCCAATTAATTTATGAATTCCCCAAAGAGCAAAGGGAATGATGTGCTGTTACRCTTGTGTAAGTAAAACTCCAAATTTAAAAATTTTAATAACTGGATTATAACTACAGAATTTGCACGATTAATGACAAGGATGCAATGGTTCTTTAAGACAAAGAAATCTGTAACATGAACAAAGCTTAAAGTTGAAAGTGACTGAATCAGAAGAGTTTATATAATTTAGTATGTTTCCTGAATGAATCACAATGGACAATTTTCCTTGATATTAAAGGTTGTTCTATCCTAATGTCTCTCTCTATATTTTTTTATACAGGGAAGACGTGAGAACAGCAAATGTCATTGCCGCAGAAGCCGTAACCTGCCTTGTGATTGACAGAGAGTAAGTACATTCCTGTACTAAGCATACTGCACATTCATATCAGCAACATACATATGTGTTGGGAATTAGGTACCATTTTATGAAGCTATTAATATCATATTTTTCAATTTTWATTGAGTTCTATATTTGATTCTTATTCCATATTATTCTTGGAAGTGCCTAACTCTGCCATTTAGCTTTGTGATTTTAAAAAAGGTTTKTAATCATGCTGAACCTTACCTTAGTTAGCTCATTATTTGAGAGACAGTTTGAGGATTACTGATGACATGTGATTAAAGTATTTGTCAAAGTTCCTTTTCTTTAGAAGGTACTCAACTAATACCAGCTATTTAGGTAAATTTTTTGAAGAGTAATTCTTATTGTCATTAAAAATTGGGCTATTCCTTTAGCATGTGTTTGCTATCTGCTCTATTATCCCATTCAGAGACTCCAATACTAGAAGCACTTAGACACTTTTGGAGAAAGCTTCAGTGTTAGACATGGGCATATATATTTAGAAACATCAAAAGTGTGTTTCATGATGCCTATCCATGTTTCTCCTACCCATTCAGGCTTGCTGTTATCACTACCTGAATGCTAAACCACAGAAATGAGATTATTGACTTTTCAAGAACACACTTGGACATATATACTAGGTAGACCCACTTGGGCACTTTTACTCATGGCAGTGTAGGTGGGTAAGTTTACAGAAAAGCTAAGTGGCTGACCCAAAGAGAATTGTAAAACAGGCAATGAACATCTATGTGGATGAAACTGAGAGACCAGATATCATATGCCAAGATGATGGAGTTAGATGCTGAGTGCAAGGGTCACTGGGTGGAGAACAATCCCACTGGATTCAAGAATCTTACTTTTGAGGCCCCTCTGTGCTGATTCCTTAGAATCAAAGAAATGAGGCAAATACCAAATGATAGTAATTTCTATGAATACCTCAGAAGCAGTTTTTCTTTGTCTGTTTCCCTTGTTCCACATTTATCCATTCATGTATTCCTCTATTAGACTTTATTGGAGCATTATTATACTCAGAGAAGTTTCAAAAGTATACTACAGATGATCATTTTGGGGTTAGCCTCTAGAAGAGATGATGTATATACAAAAAATAACCATCATGTGATCTTCCTGATYATCATGTAAGGAAGAAGTAAGAAGAGTTAAAAATAAACTTTTAAAGGTATCCAAAATGAGGAGTGGCTACTTCTGAGGAGAATCAGAAAGACTTTGGAAAGAAGTGGCATTATTACTTGAATTCTAGAAGCATAGGAAAGACAGTGTAAACACATTGAAGTCTCTTAGCACTATTCATAAGGAAGCTCTGAGCCACTTAACTGGCCAGTGAGACTGTGGAACATTGAGAAATGTAACAAATAAGTTCACAAGTATGTCTGGACTGGTTCACCAGGAGCTCTGAATGTTGGGATAATGTCAGCTCTGACAATTTTATGTGGTGAAATAGTGTCTCTACAACAATGTATTTGGCAGGCTAATCTGAAAATGCTGTGAGAGAGAATTAAAGGGAGAAGTTGAAGATAGAGTATCTGGTTAGTGGCCTAAATCCAGTTGGTGATCATGAGACCATTTACAGGAGGAATGTATAATAATGAGTAGGTAAAACCAGAGGGTTTAGCAACACACTATCTGTAAAGAGCAAGGGGAAAATTAGGGATATCGTTGAGGCAGTGAAAGGTAGAAAGAATATAGAAGGAGAATCTGTTTGGGAGTCACAACCTTATTAAATACAGTAAGACTGTAGTTAATTTGAAGTACAACCTTGGACCCCTGAGGATAGACACTCTTCAGGGGGTAGGAAAGGTGGACCAGGAACTCTTGTTAGAGTTAACTTCATATTATTAGCTTAAAAGTCACCTACATGTTAATAGCCTACATGTTAATATGGAACTACCCTGGAAGAATGAAAAAGAAAAAAGTATTAAGTTTAGAATTAGGGGAAATTCTTTCACTTAAAGTCAGGCTGGGCACTGTRACACATGCCTATAATCCCAGTGGCTTGGGAAGMTGAGTCAGGAAGATCACAAGTTCAAAGCCAGCCTCAGCAATTTAGTGAAGCCCTAAACAACCCAGTGAGATCTTGTCTAAAGGAAAATATAAAAAGGAGTAGGGATATGGCTCAGTGGTTAAACACTCAGGGCTGCAATCCCCAGTACAAAAAAGAAAAAAGTCAGGTAAGGGAAGCGAAAACAGTGGAAAAAAATTCAAGGCATTATCAAGCTGAACAACATGGAAAACCTCAGGAACCAAGAGAATATTTTTTTTCTCTCTCTCTTCCTCCCTCCCTCTCTCTCTCTCTCTCTCTCTCTCTCTCTCTCTCTCTCTCTCTCACACACACACACACACACACACACACACACACAAATTAAATGTCTAGTTTAAAGAAACAGAAAATTGGTGAAACAAAAAATCATATCCAAGATTCTAGGAAAGCAGTACACAAAAACAAGGTTGTATCACTTGAGGAGGATGTAACCTCCTCATGGCTGGCTCCTCAAAAACCCAGATACTAAGTTATAGTTAGAAAAAGAAATCCTGATATACTATTGCACAGTAGGTTAACTATAGATAATTATGTACTATATATATCTAAAACAGCTAAGAACATGTTGAATGGTTTCCCCATAAATAAATAATAAACATTTGAGGAGATGGACATTTAACCTGTTGTAAAATTACATAATGTATTCCAATACTGAAATATCATGGTACCCCACTAATATGATATTTTATATTTTTATGTATCAGTTAAAAATACATTAAATTTTAATTTAGAAAACATGAAGATGACAAGTGACACTGAGGATGGAGAGAAAAGAGAACCAATTGAATCTTGACTGAACAATTTTATGAGAATATGGGCAAATTATTTCAGGTCTGAGTCTCAGTTTCTCTTTCTAGAAATAGGAGAATATTAAATAAATTATAATATTGAAAATATTKATTGAAAATCAAGCAATTTAATGTAAGAAAAGTTGCATTCTCAGCACAAGACATGAAGTAAGAACTCAAGACATCATAGTATCCTATTCTCAAGAAAGGCACATGCACCTCTTGGATTTCGCGGTTTTCCTCTCTAATCAGAATAATATTATCTTCAGAGATACATACACAGAAGATACCTTGAGAGAGGTCTCACTTGAAACATAAATACAGGGAAGACAGTTCAAATCTTGAACCTAAGTAGTACATTTCTATACTCTCAGGAGAGAAGTTGGGCTTCCCACCAAATGTTGAATTCACAGCTTTTTATTTAAAAAAAAAAAAAAGAAACTGTAACTGAAGGATCCTGTCAAAAGCCTGCTGCTGATACCTAATTTATGGTCAATTAGAGAAGCATCAGGGCTTCATCCCATGCAAACAGATGGCAGACATTAGAACTGTCAACACAAGGAGCTTCCTGCACAAATTTACAAGCTAGGTACCATGTTACATAAGCCAGTGATTATGCTTTATCATTCCAGAGGGAAAGCAAAAGAACATTATTGTAACTAATCATGCATGTCAGATTTTTCTTTAAAGAAATGCTCATTCACAAACACAAAAATGATAAACAGATACATGGTTTATATAAAAAAAAAAAACTTTCTCTGAGGATTGGTTTCTCACAGCCCACTCATTATCTTAGTAACCATCTGTAATGTTTCCAAAACTTGTGAAAACTATCTAAAAATCTAGTGTAATGGAACAATCTAATAATAAATTGCTTCAATGTGTAAAAAGAACTGAGTACCTGTAGTGTCCTTATTTTAGAATCCTTGAAAAGAAGTAAATACCAAAGTAGACTGCATTTGATAATCAATTATGCAATGATTACTTCTATATTGTCATGGGAAGCTAGAAATTCTATTAAGATTTTTTTTGACACATTGAGGACTGTTCTGGTCATTGTCAAGGACAGTAACTTCTACCTACTAGTAAATCATAAGGAATATCACCTTAATCCATAATTACTACCCTGGTCATCTGATTCCCCTTGACTCCAAGGATAGCTGAGATCTTTCCTTAAGCCCACATGAAAGGAGGTGACATCTGGCAAAGAACATGACCAGCATCCATTCTGTTGGTCAATTTTGGTGCCATACTGGCCACTGCTTATGTTGACTCTAACCTCTATTAATGTCAAGCTAAAATGACATCAACAATGGTTTTCAAACTTTTTTGTTAACAAGGTCATTGTTTCAACAAAATGAATTRTAAAGAACACAAGGACTTTTCTGACTGTCATGGGGATAGGATATCCCCGCAACCAGGGGTCTCCCTTCTGTCTCTAAATAACTTCAAGTGATTCCTCAAACCTTCCATGGAACCCCAAGGAATCCCAGAATGATTTATATACATACCCCATATGACAGATATAAGGTCCTTTCCATCAGTGACACTGATATTTTAGCATTTATTKGGACCATTGTGTTATTTAGACAAAATCTAGGAGGTGTAGAACATGAACTAGCTTAGAGGAAATGCATTGTACTGGAGCATAAAAATTATGAAATTAGGAGGGATTGACAAACAAGATTGTAGGGCATCGCAAATGGCAATCTCAGAAATTAAGGTATCTCTATGGACCAGGGAGGTGGGGGGGGTGACTATAGTTCAAGTAATTTACCTCCCAGAGCTATAGTTGCCTGACTGACAGGCATATTTATACCATATGTTTAAAAGAGTACCAACACTTTCACCACCAGACTAATGGTAAGGGAGCATTTCATAATTCCAAGGCTGGTCACAAAGCCCATAAGCAGACAGGTTACCAAGAAAGTTGGACATAGAGGAAAAGTCTCTAGAATTAGCAAAGACTATTTCTCAGCACTCAAACTGGTCCTGAAGTATTAAAATTGGGCACCTTTTAATTGGAATTAGACTCTAATTGGAATTAGAGTCAGACAATGAAACATTGATATTTATTAATTAAGAAAGATAATAATGGATGCCTGCTTCCTATGTTAGATGTTAGACCTGCTGAGATGAACAAGACACAAATTCAACAAGAG